GGGAAAGAGGGAGGAGGAGGGAGAATACAGAAAGAGGGAGGGACACAGGACAGAGAAACCCACGTGGGGCGATGAGGAGAGAGAGAGGGGAAGGAAAGGAGCCAAGGGCCACCTATGGCCTGGGATCAGCGAGTGGCCACACCCTCGGGTCCCACTGGGCTGCGGAGTAGATGTCTCACATGTGCTCTGACTCTTCTGCCCAGAGGCTCTCCCTCCAGACCAAGGCGCCATGGAAGCCCCATGGGATGGCGATGATCTGATGGGCTCTGGAGAAGGTAACTAAGGCAAGATCATCCCGTGGGCATAAGGAACTCAGACCCGGGTCAGATTCGTTCCTGGGGCCCCCACAGGTTTTTAACGACCTCCACGGGCCCCAGTGGCGCGCACCATGAGTTAACGCTGCACGGCGGCAGCCACGGCGGACCTGCCTGACACCTTACTTGGCCAGCAGGCTCATGAGGTAGGTTGAGGTGTTGGTGTCCAATCTCAGGGGTGGCACCGTGACGTAGGCGGCCGCGTGGGACCAGTCCTGGTGGTAGTAGTGCAAGCCTGTCAGCGTGGCGTGTGCAGTGGTGGTCTCGGCCAGCACCACCTTCCCTGGAAGAAGAAGGGTCAAAACCGTAACTGGGAAGACAGGAGGCTGAGTCGCCGGTCTGCGCCTCTCTCTTTACTGGAGAAGAGGCTGGAGTCGTAGGCAGGGTGGGGTGGGCCCAGGTTCACTCGGGCGTGGAGGGCACAGCTGGGCTCAACCCCCAGAGTTTCTATTTCGTTGCTGTCCCTGGGCCAGGAAGGAAGAAGGGCAGGGGCACTGCGGCTGGGCAGCACCAAAGGGCACTTTGAGGAGCATGGGTGGGTGCAGGGTGCTGCTGGGAGGCTTGACGGGGTGGACAGGAGCAGGGCCGTGAAGAACCTGCTAAGGACTAGTTAGGACTGGCTTCTAAACAGGCGGGTGTCGTGAGCAGTCTCCAGAGAATCGCTGCGGGTGGGGCTGTAGCAGGGTGGGGCGGGGGCAGGGAGATGGAGCTGAGAGCCCACTCAGCAGCCGGGACAGCAGTCCAGGTGACAGCCCATGGGGCTTTGACTAGAGGAGAGGTGTGAAGGCTGGGGAGCCCTGGCTTCTGACTTGTATCCCCTGGTTTGTGACCGTGTCTTCATTTCTCCTGTTACCAGGTCCTCCAAGCACCCGGAACTGGGCTGGACGACAAACCTTCAGGTGCTGCCAGGTGATCAGCGACGGGAGCCTTACAGGTGCCCCCCCCGCCCCCCCCCCGGGCTCGGACGTGGGTTCCAGTTGGCTATAAAGGGAGCGGGGCCAACACATTGCTATCTCCCCAGGGACTTGCCAGACACCCCCTGAAATGTCCACTGGAACCAGTCCAAGATTTTAAGTGAGTTGTCAGGGCAACTGCCAGTAAAGCCCAGGAGGCCAAAAAAGACATTTCATTAATGAGTTGATATAAAACTTGGAAAATTTGACCAGATCCAGGGGAGGTGTCAGACACTTCTGTAGAGCTGCTATGCATACAAATGCGCAGAGGAATACATTACTTCTAACGACCAAACCCAGGCTAGCTAGGTGCATCCGAGGAAGACTGGCATTGAGAACAGGAAGGGCCAGCTCAGGTCCCGGCCTCAGGAGCCAGGGCAGGGGAGTGGACTAAGCTGGTCGACCTGCTCATTCTCGGATTAATCCCACCACGTAACGTGCTGCGTCCATCCAAGCCTAAGGACTCACCTTGCATCTTAGCAGCGGCGATGACGTCACCAGCTGAGATGCTGGACACATTGACCAGGTAGATGGGACAGTGAGTCTGAGCACAAGAAACAGCGGGAAGCAGAGAGCATGAACCCGTGAGCGTAATGAACACCACGATAACCCTGGAGACATCAGTGCGGGCATCAGCAGCTCCTCCTGCCCTGCTCGGTCCCACCCTTGAGGTGACAGCTTAGGCCAGGAAAGCAAGGCTGGCAGCCAGGGCACAAGCTGCAGGCTGAGGAGTGGCATGCAGCAAGCAGGTGGCGAGAGCGTTTGGCACTAGGGCCCACTGGGAAGGCCGACTGGGAGGCAATGTCGGGTCAAGACTGTCGAGTCTGAACCTCACACTTTCTCTCCTCTGACCACCAGACTGCAACTCAAAAGAAGGTGTTTTTTTTCTATTTTAATTTCCTGTTCAGGAATGCGATGCCCTAGAGACAATCCTGTATTAAATTCTGTATCAAAATCGACAATGCCTGCCACCTGGGGTTACCTAGATGTACGACAGACAGAACATCCCCCGAAGAAGAACAGAATACAAAGGGGTCAGGGTTCAGAGTCCAGGCCAGACAATCTTGTGAAAGGTTACCTGGATGGTAATATTGGTTAACTTTCCCTCTGCTAAGCTGTGTGACCACGGCTCATGGTCTGTGGTCTCTGGGAGTATTTTGAGCTAAAACACAAGCTGCTTTTGTTGTTGTTGTTGGTTTTTTTCTTATTCTGGGGTAAGTTTCTATCAAGGAGTGATTAATAAAATAACTTTGGTTATAACATTAACAAAGTCCCTGTGCAGCTGCCAGACCTATAAAGTGCTGATGAGAAACTTTGCTTCTCCCAGTGTTATTCTGGTGACTTCTTCACTTATAAAATGAGGAAGACATAGAGTTTAAGAACTGATGTGGCTGATGTGCTTGGCACACGTTTACGGACTAAATCTGAGACCAGCTGGATCTGCAACCTCTCTGTTCTCTGCCTAATATTCCCAAGACCACCCCTTCATTCTTATGTCCTTCAAGGCAGCTCAGGCCATTCCAAAGGAGAGGTTCCCGAGTGTTAGCACCCGATGGCACCACTGGGGGCCTGTTACTACTCGAATTGCTGAGTTTCAGCTTCAGGGTTTTTTTTGGAGAGGTTTTTGCTATAGGGCGCATGCGCTCGCCAGCCAGACAGAGAGAGACAGAGATACAGAAAGCGAGAAATCACCCCCCAGGGGGGATGGCCACACCACAATCCCTTCTCCTCTGTTCTCCTCTTGGGATCTTGGGCACGCACGCACACGCGCCTAGAGTGAGTTTAAGCCACCGGGTCTGGGACGCAAACCGTGGTTGACTACGTGGGAGTCCAGCGACATAGCCATTACGCTAACTGCTGGTCCCTCAGCTTCGGTTTTGATTCAGTGGGTCTGTAAGGGACCTGAGAATATGCACTTCTAATTCCTCCTTTTAACACGATGCTGAAACGGCTGGTCCAGGAACCATACTTTGAAAACCACTGTTCTAGAGAAAGTCATTCAGAGTGTCTAAGCGAATCAAACCCATCCATGATAATCTAGAAGGAGAAATGACGTTTTTATTAATATCAGAGCAGTATAAACAGTGGGTTGTCAGGAACGTCATGACATCTTTTTGCTAGGTTTTTCTACACAAAATGGTGTCATGACTTTTCCGACAACTCATACATTCCCTTCCAGGGCTTCTTTGATTCTCACAACCAGGCAAAGAAAAGGAGGTGATGTGATCATTGCCATTGCATATAGTAAGAGCGTCTCAGACGGTAGAGCAGCCTGCATATCTGGTAAAGGTGGAAGCTAGAACTTCTGGCTATCTTACTCATTCCCACCGCCACACTCCATCAGCAAGAAAGAATATTAAGAACTATGGCCTAGAGGCACAGATTTAAATCATGGCTCTTTAGGCAAAATCTTCCTAGTCTTCTTAAACAGATGCCAGTTGCAGTAAGCTCCTCCCTACCCTCCCTGCCTCCCCTGGGAGCATTTACACCTGAGCAATGAACAGAGGCTTCAGGAAACTCAGTGGATGCAGTGGGGAGCTAAAGGCAAGAAGGATGCATGCCAGGCTGTGGGGATAACTCATATAGCAAACAGTTCTGGGATCCTGTGTGCCAGGCATGGTGCTGGAACCCAGAGTGGAGTGACCTCCACAAGAGGCTGGTTCCTGACTCAGCACTGGGAGGGGCTACTTACCCTGTTCGCAATGGTGATAACACGGTGAGTGGCTTCGGCTTCTAGCTGTTCGAGACAAAGCACAGGGAGAAACCAAGTTTCACCATCTCCTCCAAGCAGGCCAACCTGCCTGAGTGCCCACAGCACAGAAGGGCCGGAATATCTGACGCAGAGATGAGGGGCCAACTATACCCACCCACAGGGGCTAGCCTGGGGCAAGGCCTTGGCAGGAACACCAAGCTCCAGCTACCTTAGCTCACTGTGGGAGGGAACTAGGACTTCATATCCAGGCGTACCCTTGCTGGATGATACTCAGGGTTTAACTGAGAGACCATGAAATGAAATTCATGCGCCCTGTTTTCTGGTGCATTCTGTTCATCTCTGAAATGTAGCTAAGAAGCAAGAGAGACTGATTTCGAACTGCCAATTAGCTTTGATCAGGGTTTCTGAGCCTCGGCACTAGCGACATTCTGGGCGGGTAACTCTGTGGAGGGGCTGCCTGTGTAGGATGCAGGCAGCACCCCTTGCCTCTACCCACTAGAGGCCAGTAGCACCCTCCCTTCTCCCAGATAGGGCAATCGGAAACATCTGTAGCCCTGCTAAATTCCTCCGGAAAGCAAACTTGGTCCCGGGGTCCACCCAGCACCTGCTCTTTAACCAGTGGACGACGCTGGTGCTGGTTAATGCCTTTGTAACCACTCCGGTGGAAGCCTTGCTTTCTCATGTGCACTGCAAGGATCCAGGCCGGTGTGCAGCCCCACTCGCACCTGTCCGCACGGGCACATCCCCAGTGTTTTCCCTGTCGATTCTGAGGTGCCAAAGCAGAACTGATGTAGGTCCTTAAATATACAAGGGCTTTCTCTCGCTCTCTCTTTTTAAGAATTATTTATTTAATATGTCATCATTTTAAAAATTGATTTAATTAATTAATATTATTATTATTATTATTTAATTTTTCTATAGGGCACATGCACTCATGAGAGAGAGAGAGAGAGAGAAAGTGAGAAGACAAGCCGCCAGGTCCAGGACTTGAACCATGGTCAGACATGTGGGAGTCCAGCACCCTAATCAACACATCATCTGCTGACCCCATCATCATTATTATTTTTTAAATTTGCTGTAAGGCACATGTGGTCACCAGGGAGAGGTGAGAGTGAGAGAGAGGGAAAGTGAGAAAGCAAGCTGCTAGGTCTAGGACTCGAACTGCAGTTGGCCACGTGGGAGTTCAGCACCTTAACCACCATGCCATCTGCTGGTCCCTATACCAGGGCTCTTAAAGACAGGGATGAGGCCAATAGGTGGTGTAATGGTTACCGTGCTGGACCCCCACATGGCTGACCATGGTCTGAGCCCCAGAATGGATGGCTTGAAAATCACACGAGGTACATGAGTGTGTGTGCCCCAAATCCCAGGAGAATGAAGGAGAAGAGAGGAGTTGCGGCATGGCCATCCTCCCTGGGGGGTGATTTCTTACTTTCCCTCCCACTGTCTCTCTGGTAAGCTCATATACCCTATGACAAAAACCGAAAGAAGAAAAAAAAAAAAAGACAAACAGATGAGGCAGGGCATCCCAGGTGAGGTGGCTCTCCTGGCTGGCCTCTATGGGTGGGTGACGAGGTTCCTGCACAAGGGCAGCACCACCACAGCCTGTCACCTGCTCCTCGGCCCCTCAGGCCTCCCCTTCGGTCCGTCGTGGACACCCACCCAGCACTCTGTGCTTAAGGCTTTGAAGAAATGAAAACTAGTTTCTCCCCCCTAAATGGTAGAGAATGTCTGAACAGGGTCACAGGGCAAGAAGGCATTGTTTATCTATCGAGGTCCCTTCAGAGTAGAATTCTTTACCCAGGGCACGCCGGGGGATTTGTGTGGATGTCCTGTAAAACTGTACACAAGATAAAGGCAGAGGGCAGAGGAGAGCAGGGCTCCGAATTACTGTCTCAGGGAGCAATAAGGGGGAAGAGCGAAGGCCTGTGTGTGCCCTCTGCTTCTGCTAGGAAGGGTTTAGAGTATTCCCTGATGCTTAAAGGGATCATTGGCTGATAGTCTGCAATTTCTTCTAACCTCTGAAGGCCTTTTCTGTCTACTGTTTTGACATGGTCTTGCCCAGATCTTTGAAATCAGAATCAAACGGGAGAAGTGTGGTTCCTTCCATTTATCTCGCTAAGGAAGCCCAAGGTCAAGTCAGCCTTAGCATGGAGTTAGCTGTTTCCCGGGAAGCTTCTAGATGGGAATTTCACCCATGGAGAAAGCGATACAATACAACTTCTGTTTTGGATGTCCATTCTAACCTCAGAGAAGTTGGGAATCCACATTAAAGAAGCCACAAAGGGTACAGGAAGTCTTTCTTACCTCCTCTGGACGGCTGATCTCGATTCCTTCTGGGCCTGTGATACCCAAATCCAGTGCCTCCTTAGCACCCTGGATAATAAGAGCAAGAAAGAGTCATAGACATCTAAGAACATATAGAACCCCAGGGACCGTAAAATACACCAGACACAGCCTGTCCAATAGGCTCGCTACTCCTCACTTCTGTAATCGTCATCTGCAGAGGGCAGAAGCAGCCCAGGGCTCCCAGGTGGTAAAGCTCTCCTAATTCTTTTTCTTTCTTTCTTTCTTTTTTTTTTTGGAGACATCTTTTGCTATAAGGGCATGTGCGCTCGCCAGACAGACAGAGAGAGACAGAGAGACAGAAAGCAAGAAATCACCCCCCAGGGGGGGATGGCCATGCCACAATCCCCTTTCCTCCATTCTCCTCTCGGGATCTTGGGCACACACGCACACGCGCCCGGCATGAGTTTAAGCCACCAGGTTGGGACTCGAACCGCGGTCGGCTACATGGGAGTCCAGCGACACAGCCATTACGCTAACTGCTGGTCCCAAGCTCTCCTAATTCTCACTTCATAATAATCCAACAAATCCTTCCTCTTACAGCTTAGTATTTAGCCAACAGGCTCTGGACACCAAAGACAAACACTCTTTATTGGTTTGAAAGCCAGAATTTTCTTATGGAAATCTAGATCTCTAGAGTCCAGCAACTCTAAGATAAAGCTCTACCCCAAGACCTAGGAGTACAAAGTACATCTTTCTTGGTACCAGTGGACATATATCTCAGCTCCTCTGAAGAGGTACAGTCAGTGCAAAGCTGATTCTTATTTATTCTGTACGCTAATCTCATTAAAAATATTCCTAATGGGGCCGGCAGGTGGCGTGGTGGTTGAGGACTTTTTCTCTTTCATCTCTCTCTGGTGTGCCCATGTGTTCTATAGCAAATTTAAAAAATACTACCAATAAATAAATAAGTAATTTGGGGCCAGTAGGTGGCATGGTGGTTGGAGTGCTGGACTCCCACATGGCTAACTATAGTTTGAATCCCATACCTAGCAGCTTGTTTTCTCACTGCCCCTCCCCATGACTACAGCAAGTTAAAAAAAAGAATAGGGGCCAGCAGATGGCGTAATGGTTACATCACTGGACTCCCACATAGTTGACTGCAGTTTGAATCCCAGACCCAGCTGCTTGAAACTCATGCCAGGCACATGTATGTGCATGCCTAAGATCCTGAGAGGAGACTGGAGGAGAAGGGATTGTGGTGTGGCTATACTCCCCCCGGGGAGGGTGATTTCTCACTTTCTATCCCTGTCTCTCTGTCTCTCCAGCAAGCACACATTCCCTATAGCAAAAATCTCTGTAAGAAAATAACAATAATATTCATTTTTAAAAAAGGGTATTTCTAAGAGGCGCTCCAAATCCTCTGTTATAGCAGAATTGAAATCCTACAGCGTTAGAACTAAGACATCATCACCTAAGACTTAGAAACCTTTTTGGACCATAAAGATTTGTTTTTTAGACAGTAGAGAAGTTTGGACTTTCTGACCGAGCCGTGTCACGTGGGGTGTTTACATCTCACACTGTGTCACAGTTTGTGCAGGGTCAGTGACGAGAGCTCAGGAATCCCCCGGAAACTGCTCCTTTGGTGCCCCCATCGGGCTTCTCTACTGCACACTTGCCTCGGCCACGAGCTCCCCATTTTCAGCATGGACTCTGGCGATCGCCCCAATGTCCTTACAGGCGTGAAACACTTGGTACAGCTCACTGTCCCGAAGCATGTACAAGTCCTTGTAGGTCATGAACATCTGGAACGAGTTGACGCCCTTCTCCCTCACTAGCGTCTCCATTTCTGCTTTCACCTGGGGAGCAAAATGCAAAGGCAATGCCAGGTGGGTACGGATATTCAGAGGCTGACCCTGAGCCTGCAGGGGACACGCGGGTCCTCTCCCAGCTCAGTGGGTTGAGTTACCATACGAACACCCACAGCATTCTCGTGGTTCATTTTCCTCCTACCCCAGAAGTGGCTGCCAGCTCTCATGAGAAGCGGACGCAGGAATACTGTGAAAATTCTCGTGCGTGACACAGTCCTAGGAACGTGGCTGTCATTTTATAGGCACCCTGCTCCTCTCACGTGGGCCTGCCCTACGGTTCTGCCTTCTTGGTAAATGCAGGCAGTGTGACTTTCATTCCTGTGGCCTGTTCCCCCAGCCCCCACATGGGAAGCAGTGCTTCAAAGAAGGTACACTAGTGTGAAAAATCCAGAGACCTGGGGCCAGCAGGTGGCATGGGGGTTAAGGCACTGGCCTCCCACTTGGCTGACCACGGTTCAAGTCCTGGACCTGGTGGCTTGAAAAATCATGTCGGGTACATGTGCGCACATGCCCAAGATCCCAAGAGATTGGAGGAGAAGAGATTGTAGCATGGCCAATCCCCTTGGGGCGGGGGTTGATTTCTCACTTTTCCTCTCTCTGTCAGCACATGAGTTCTATGTCAAGAACAAAAGCAAAAACAAACAAAAAATGAAAATCGAATTGAGGAACAATGCACACTATGAACAAAGCTATGGGAAAAGGAAAAGTATACCAACATTATTTACATTAGGGAAAAAATGGAAGCAACATTGTTCCAACAACAGGAAAATAACTGAACTTGACCTGTTTGATAGAACATTAGGTGGCCATTAAATCAATGGTCATAGAGTCTATGCCACAAATCACACAGAGCTCACATGTAAGCAAAAGAGCTATCGTGTAAAAATCATGTATGAAAAAAGACTGGAAAGAAATAAGCTCAAGCAACCATGGGCATGCCTAAGATCCTGAGAGGAGACTGGAGGAGAAGGGATTGTGGTGTGGCTATACTCCCCCCGGGGAGGGTGATTTCTCACTTTCTATCCCTGTCTCTCTGTCTCTCCAGCAAGCACACATTCCCTATAGCAAAAATCTCTGTAAGAAAATAACAATAATATTCATTTTTAAAAAAGGGTATTTCTAAGAGGCGCTCCAAATCCTCTGTTATAGCAGAATTGAAATCCTACAGCGTTAGAACTAAGACATCATCACCTAAGACTTAGAAACCTTTTTGGACCATAAAGATTTGTTTTTTAGACAGTAGAGAAGTTTGGACTTTCTGACCGAGCCGTGTCACGTGGGGTGTTTACATCTCACACTGTGTCACAGTTTGTGCAGGGTCAGTGACGAGAGCTCAGGAATCCCCCGGAAACTGCTCCTTTGGTGCCCCCATCGGGCTTCTCTACTGCACACTTGCCTCGGCCACGAGCTCCCCATTTTCAGCATGGACTCTGGCGATCGCCCCAATGTCCTTACAGGCGTGAAACACTTGGTACAGCTCACTGTCCCGAAGCATGTACAAGTCCTTGTAGGTCATGAACATCTGGAACGAGTTGACGCCCTTCTCCCTCACTAGCGTCTCCATTTCTGCTTTCACCTGGGGAGCAAAATGCAAAGGCAATGCCAGGTGGGTACGGATATTCAGAGGCTGACCCTGAGCCTGCAGGGGACACGCGGGTCCTCTCCCAGCTCAGTGGGTTGAGTTACCATACGAACACCCACAGCATTCTCGTGGTTCATTTTCCTCCTACCCCAGAAGTGGCTGCCAGCTCTCATGAGAAGCGGACGCAGGAATACTGTGAAAATTCTCGTGCGTGACACAGTCCTAGGAACGTGGCTGTCATTTTATAGGCACCCTGCTCCTCTCACGTGGGCCTGCCCTACGGTTCTGCCTTCTTGGTAAATGCAGGCAGTGTGACTTTCATTCCTGTGGCCTGTTCCCCCAGCCCCCACATGGGAAGCAGTGCTTCAAAGAAGGTACACTAGTGTGAAAAATCCAGAGACCTGGGGCCAGCAGGTGGCATGGGGGTTAAGGCACTGGCCTCCCACTTGGCTGACCACGGTTCAAGTCCTGGACCTGGTGGCTTGAAAAATCATGTCGGGTACATGTGCGCACATGCCCAAGATCCCAAGAGATTGGAGGAGAAGAGATTGTAGCATGGCCAATCCCCTTGGGGCGGGGGTTGATTTCTCACTTTTCCTCTCTCTGTCAGCACATGAGTTCTATGTCAAGAACAAAAGCAAAAACAAACAAAAAATGAAAATCGAATTGAGGAACAATGCACACTATGAACAAAGCTATGGGAAAAGGAAAAGTATACCAACATTATTTACATTAGGGAAAAAATGGAAGCAACATTGTTCCAACAACAGGAAAATAACTGAACTTGACCTGTTTGATAGAACATTAGGTGGCCATTAAATCAATGGTCATAGAGTCTATGCCACAAATCACACAGAGCTCACATGTAAGCAAAAGAGCTATCGTGTAAAAATCATGTATGAAAAAAGACTGGAAAGAAATAAGCTCAAGCAACCATGGAGATTGTGTTGAGGTTATTGGATTAAGTGCTTCCTTCTCTATTTTTGAAATCTGTAATTGGAAAAAAAAATTATAAAAAAGAACTTAAAGGGTCAGCAGGTAGCATTGTGGTTAAGGTGTTGTACTCCCACATAACTGACCACAGTTTGAGTCCCGGACCTGGTGGCTTAAAAAAAAATCACACCAGGCACACGTGTGTGCAATGCCCAAAATCCCGGGAGGAGACTAAAGGAGAAGGGAGTACGGCGTGAACACCCACCCTGGAGGATGCTTTCTCACTTTGTCTCACTGTCTCTGTTTCTCTCTGATGAGTGCATTTGCCCTATGGCAGAAACCTAAAAAACAAAAACAAAACAAAAAACTTAAAATTCTAGATGCACGAGTTTCCCCATAACCTCTGGGATCTCAGACATGGCCATCCCGGGCTCAGTGTTACTGGGAATCTGAGTGGACCCAATTCCAGACCAATTCAGGAAAAGGGAATGGAGAGAGGTCTGGGGGTAGAGGTCACCCACCTAGCAGGGTGTTCATAAAGGAAGGAGACCCCGCTCTGAGAAAGGAGATGACTGACCTTTGGTATGGTTTGCACCCTTAGCCTGGTACCTGGAGGAGCGGTCTTCACGGTGTGATGGTTAGAGGGCTCCAAGGCCTCCCCTATGAAGGAGATGGGGTGATTCCCCAACTCAAGGCCAAAACCCAAGGGAAGAATTATAGCAAGGCTTTAAAAGACCATCTCAGGAGGGGGTCAGGCGCTTTAGGCCAGGGTCCACAACTGAACAGCTCTGTAAAACTTCTTAGTGCCTGTCATGTTTGTGAGTCCAGGCACCCACCAAAGTAGTGGCACATGAGGGCTTAACTGATGAGAGACTGGATCCAGGCTGCCTCCCTGGGGTCACAGCAGGCAAACTCCGGAAACCAAGCAAAATCTAAACGCTTGTCTATCTATTTTTGGGAAGAGCAAGGAAATAGGAATCCAGGGAGAAGAGATGACCTGGGACCTGGGTGGAGGAAGAACAGGAAAGCCAGAGGCCAGGGCCACAGAGTCCGAACTGAGAAAGAGTTCAGTGGCAGCCAGCCTCAGTCACAGACCAGGGGCAGTGGTAGCGCTCCTTGGAGCAGGAGGCGGGCCTGAGTAGGGTAAAAGCAAATGCGGCTCATTTGTACCAGGTGGTACAGAAACAGGAGTTTGGAGACCTGAGCTCGCCCTGGCTTTCAGCACAGCTCTGACATGCCCCTCTGTGCCTGAACCTTGCCAGGTCAGGCACTGAGCAGCGCCTCCCAGTGGCTGTCTGTGGTACTTTATGCAAATACCAGGAAATGCTGGGAGCCTCCAGGGTCAGAGGGAGGAGCCAGCACTCCCAGGCCTGGCCTCTGGCCCTGGCTGGGACTCTGTTACAACGTGGGATATCCTGTGTCTACCGGAAACCTCACTCTGAGTTAAGAGGGACAGGCCCACCCACCCGCTATGGAATCCGGAGTGTGTTTTCTTCTGGTGCTGGGAGGTAGGAGGGGTATCCGGAAAACGCAGGGGTGCACCATTCCCCAGCTGGTTCAGACCACTGGGCCCCCAGCAGCGCTCTTACCTTGGGTGCCCACCACGTGATCCCCACGTGGAGGGCGTAGTCACAGCAGACCTTGGGGTCGGCCAGGCCCCGGCACTTCTCATAGGCATCCACCAGGGAGGTCTCCTTGTCAGGCAGGACGTGGCCAATGATCATCGTGGTGCCTCCAACGAGGGCAGCCTGGGGGAGACAGGGAGAGGGTTGTCTTGTCACAGCTCCGCCCGCACCAGAGCCGCTGACGCTGACTGAGAGACGTGGTCCTCAGGGGTACGTTCTACACCCCAGGCCCCACTCCCAAAGACGCTGTGAGAACCAAAGCAGAACTGTGAGGGGAGTGGTGAGACGCTGCAGGAAGGCATGGGAGCAACTTCATCATCACTGTGGACCCAGGAACCTGCCTCCCCCTCTCCTGGACTTTGGCCTGGAGCTTTGGAAAACCACTTAGTGTGTGACCAAGCCCAAGGTCAATCCCTCTTTTCCCATGAGAAGACCCCTCCCCAAATGATTTTGGCCCAACCTGAATATATCGCGACATAATGAAGTATCAACATATAAGGTCTAATAGATGGCACAAATACCTGTTTTTAATATTTAACTACATGTGCATTTAATTTTAAATCTACTTAATTTCATTAATTATTATTATCGTTTAATTTGCCATAGGGTCCGTGGGCTTACGAGAGACAGACAGAGAAAGTGAGAAAACCAGTTGCCAGGTCTGGGACTCTAACTGCGGTCGGCCACGTGGGAGTCCAGCTCCTTAACCACAACACCTGCTGGCCCCCACATATGTGTATTTAAACCATAATATGTAAAATGTTAATTTGGAATATACCGTGTTTTATTTACTTGTTTTTAAATTTTTGCTAGAGTTTGTATGATTCCTGGAGAAAGAAAGTGAGAAAGCACCTGGGGGAGGGGACTGGCCACACTGCAGTCGCTTTTCCGTTTCTCTTTCGGGATTTTGGGCACGCACACACACGTGTCCAATGTGTCCTCTAATCACTGCTCTGGGGCTCGAACAGCAGAGTCGCCCACATGCCACCCAGCTGCCTTAACCACCACACCACTGTCTGGCCCTTTTTGCTTTTGTTTTATTTGAATTTTCCCCTCCAGACTTTCCATATTTGCGTCTCCCACATCAGGTCTTTGACTTCAGCTTTTCCATGATGGTGGAGACAGAATACTTTGTAGATCACCGTGACTTACAAAAACGGATCCTATTCACAGTCTGCTTAAGATACCCTGTTTCGGGCCAGCAGGTAGTGTAATGGTTAAGGCGCTGGACTCCCACATGGCCGACTAAGGTTCCAGTCCCAGACCCTGTGGCTTTAAACCCATACCAGGCATGTTGTGCATGTGAGCCCCAAATCTCCAGAGAATGGAGAAGGGGGTGATTGCTCACTTTCTCTTTCTGCTCTCTGGTGAGCGCACATGCCCTAGAGCAAAAATCCCTCTCAAAAAAAAAAAAAAGATACCCTGTTTCAAAAGAAATCTTTAAAAAGCTTTACTTACGGGGGACCAGCAGTTGGCGTAATGGCTATGTCACTGGACTCCCATGTAGCCGGGTGTGTGTGCGTGGGTGCCCAAGATCCCGAGAGGAGAATGGAGAAGGGATTGTGGTGTGGCTATCCCCCGGGGGGTGATTTCTTGCTTTCTGTCTCTATGTTTCTCGGTCTTTCTGGTGAGTGCATGCGCCCTATAGGGAAAACCTCTCAAAATAAATAAATAAATAAATAAAATTTCTAAAAATTACTGTATTACCCTCTCAACTTTAAAAAAAGCTTATCTATTTTTTCCCTGAGAGATATAGAGAGCAAGAGCAAAATGGACACCCCCAAGAGGGCTTACAGCCGTGATTCACCCCCGCCTCAGACAAATAGGATGCCAGGGACATGTGCCTGGAGCATATAGGCCTTGGGATGCAAAACTAGAACTTTCCTACGTGAGTCCAGTATTGCGGAGTGTCTGCTCTGCCCCCCTTGGCCCCTCTCTGCTCAACTGTTTTTTTTTTTTAGAGATTTTTTCTTTTTTTTTGCTATAGGGTGTGTGTGCTCACTGGAGAGACAGAGAGACAGAAAGCATCCTCTAGGGAGGGTGGCCACACTGCAATCCCTTTTCCTCCATTCTCCTCTCGGGATCTTGGCATGCATGCATACGTGCCCGGTGTGTTTTAAACTGCTGGGTCTGGGACTCGAACTGTAGTCAACTATGTGGCAGTCCAACAACATAACCATTTAGGCCATCTGGTGATCTCTCTGCTCAACTTTTTAAAAGCTAATTTGTCAGGTGACTTTTGTGAACTTCCCAAATTAGCACTGACCGAAGGTCATTTCAGGCTAATGTGTTGTTCCCAAACAGAACTTTGTTTTGAAAATTGTATTTGGAAATTGAGAGAGAGCCCCATAATGTGAGAGTTTTGTGGTGGCTGTAACATAGGGTAGTTTTTTGTTGTTGTTGCTTTTTGTTTGGTTTGGTATTTTTTTGGCTTATAGGAGAGAGACAGAGAAGGAAAATGAGAAATCACCCCCTAGGAGGATGGCCATGCTGGCACACATGCACACGTGCCTGGATGTTTTTCAAGCTGCTCGGTCTGGGACTTGAACCAGGTAGTTGGCCATGTGGAATCCAGCCGCCTTAACCTCTGTGCTACCTGCTGGTCCAGCTGGCTCTTTTTTCCTGATGAATACAAGCTTGAAAAACTCTGTCCTCTTTTGAGTCCTTTGGTGACTAGGAAGCAGCGTTCCAGGTCCAAGTTCCTGCTTTGCTGCCTCCTAGTTGGAGAACCTTAGCCAGGTCACTTAGCTTCTCTGGGATGCAGATTTTTTTCTTCCCTTTTCTTTTTTTAATTGGCCAGAGAAAGACAGAGACAGTAAGAAGGAAAGTGACAAATCACCCCCCAAGGGTATGGCCATGACCACAATCCCTTCTTCTTCATTCTTTTCCTGGAATTTTGAGCAAGCATACACACGCACCTGGTATGATTTTCAAGCTGTCTGGTCCTGGACTTGAACCATAGTCGGCCATGTGGGAATGTGAGAAGGCATCTCCCCGTGGAGGAACGGCCACATCACAGTTCCTTCTCTAATTCTCCCTCCTTTCATGATTCTGGGCATGCATGCACACATACCTGGTGTGTTTCTCAAAGCTGCCCAGGCTAGGCAAACCATGCTGTTGTTGCTCACATGGGATCCAGCCACTGTAACCACCACACCACCGGCTGGCCCGATTCTCTACCTATACAGCTTCTTTGTTGGCTAGTTGTGAAAGTCCAGTATCACTTACGAAAAGAATTTGGGGGACCAGCAGATAGTGTAATGGTTACATCACTGGACTTCCATGGCTTGAGTCCTGGACTAGGAAGCTTGAAATTCACACCAGGCACATGTGCGTTTGCGCCCAAAATCCACAGAGGAGAACAGAGAAGAAGGTTTGCAGCATGGCCATCCCTCCTGGAGGGTGATACAGAGAACAGAGAAGAAGGTTTGCAGCGTGGCCATCCCTCCTGGAGGGTGATTTCTTGCTTTCTCTCTGTCTTTCCAGTGAGTGCACGTGCCCTATAGCAAAAACCTCTTTCTCTCAAAAAGAAAGAAAGGAATGGATTTGGGAATGTGCTTTCCTAACAGGTGTGTTCAGTAGTTTAGAACTTAGATGTTACCTGTTTTCTGTAGGGGAGGAAAAGCACAGTGAAATTGCCCTAATGATGTCATGCTTCCCTAGGCAGTTTGCCCTTGATTACAAAATGGAAATATTGCCGGGAATACAGCAATGAGAAAAATTAGTTCAGTGACCAAACAACAATGAAAACGAAAACACCTCACAACCTCATGTTCTCTGCTGACTCTGGCTAGGCCCGTGAGAATGTTTGCCCTGCTTAGCCCTGGAGAACTCAGGGGACTGACTTCTTGCATAGCTGAAAGCGACCGGCAGAGGGCGGTGGTTCTATGATGCACAGGTAGGAACTGGATGGGGGCGGCAGGGAAGGAAAGCCGGAGGAGCCTTGCAGATTGGAGCGTTACTAGCTGGCTTCTATTTCTGACTTTGCTGGATTGTGCCAGGCTGATTCATCCTCATAGCAGGTGGTTGTACTCTATTTTGTCCTGAAATGCATTGCTTGCTTTCAACACGTGCACACGGGGGTGTCTGATATATTGGGGTTTTACAACTAAATTGTTTTATTAGTCTATAGCTCTAGATTGTTTTTCTTCACACTCTACTCCTCAGCACATCTGTCACATTAGATAGAAAAGAAAGGGAGCTTGGAAACAGCAACAGTGTACTAAAAGAACCAGGACCTGGGACCAGCAGTTGGCATAATGGCTATGTCTCTAGACTCCCATGTAGTCGACTGCAGTTCGAGTCTTGGACCTGGTGGCTTAAACTCTAGGGCGCGTGTGCGTGCCTACCCAAGATCCTGAGAGGAGAATGGAGGAGAAGGGATTGAGGGGTGGCCATCCCCCCGGGGGGTGACTTCTCACTTTCTGTCTCTCTCTTTCTGGTGAGCGCATGCGCCCTAAAGGAAAAAACCTCTAAAAAAAAAAAAAAAGAAAAAAAGAACCAGGACCCTTCTTAGCATTTGGCATTTGTGGGTTCCAGGACAAGAGTAGGAAGTTCACATGCCAAATCTCTAATATTTGAAAGTTACAGATCAAGCTGACAAACAGTTACACTGAATATATCCTATCCTGCTACTCTGCAAAATATGTATCAGGGCCTGGCTTGAATTTAGAATTCCTGGGGTCCTTGCAATTCTGAACTGTGCTGCAGGGAAAGTGGGCCTCAATTTCCCTGCCTGTCGCCAGCCCACATCCTCCATACTGAATTCAACCTGCAGCCTGCCAGTCTAAGCTTTGTCTCCCCCCTGTGAAAGCGCGCACATGAATGGTCCTGCCCCAGGACAGGTTCAGGTAGTATAGACCTAGAAGTGCACAGGGTCATGTGTCAGGAAATTCCAGGTCTCCAGAGTGGTCTAGGAACGTGCTCATGGGTGCCAGGCAGGCATGGCCCCTGAATCTCATGGGGAATGTGTACAAGTGTCAGAACGCCCAAGCATGGTCTTCTAGAGGCCAGGGACCAGGGCAGAGGCCCCTTTGCCTGCGTGTAAGTGGGCCCTGGACAGAGTTCTGGAAGGGCAGTTCAGAGCACCCGGCGGCCTCACAGCAGTGCGACTTTCCCACTTA